TTTTGGCTATTGTAAATAGTGCTGCGATGAACACGGGTGTGCATATATCTGTTCTCGTCATGGCTCTCACTTCTTTAGGGTATTACCTAGTAATGGAATGCCAAGCCATGATCTTTTCAATAGCTTCATACACATGTGAAAGGTGGACAGTGAGTAAGGAAGACTGAAGAAGAATTGATGCCTTTGAATGGTAATGTTGGCAAACAATATTGAAAATACCACGGACTGACAGAACAAACAAACTGATCTTGGAAGAAGTATAGCCGGAATCCTCCTTAGAAGGAGGAATGGCCAGCCTTCATCTCACCTACCTTTGTCGTATTGTCATAAGGAACCAGTCCTTTGAGAAGGACGTCATGCTTGGTAAAGCAGAGAGTCAGTGACAACAAGATGGATAGACAGTGTGGCTGCAACGATGGGCTCAACTACAGCAAAATTTGTGAGGCTGACACAGGACCAGGCAGTGCTTTGTCCCGTTGTACCGGGGTCGCTGTGTGCTGGAGCCAATTCGACAGCACTAACAACAACACTATAATGCCTAAATGTGGTTTCTTTGCATTAATCCTGTTTTGATTTTGTGGGTTTTATGAATCTATGGATTAACGTCTTTCATTAGTGTTTGGGTTACCTAGTGTCGCTCTAACAAAAAATACCACAAATGGGATGGCTTTAACAAACAGGAGTTTATTCTCTTACAATTTTGGAGGCTGGAAGTCCAAGTTCAAAGTGCCAGGCTCTAGGGACTGGGTGAAAGCCCCTCAACCTTGGGCTTCAGCTCTGCCTTCTGTTTCCAGCCCACTGAAGCTAGAGGTTTTCTTCACTCAGACAGCTGTTGGCTGCTGAGTTCTTCACTCAGATGCTGTTGGCTGCTGAGTCTGACAAACCTAAGGTGGATAAGTAAAAAGGCACAGTCCCGATTACCAAACCATGCGGCAGGCGTGTGATTAAAGTCCATTAAAAGTCCCAAGATCAGCAGAGCATGGCAGGCTGCTGAATGAAGATTCAGCTACATGCAAGGTTCAAGAGTGCCAAAACACTAGAGGACCTTCCTCAAAGCTGTTCCTTATGTCCTGGAAGCAGACCACACCCTCTAAAGCAGCTACTCAGCTGCTGCAATAGATTCCACCATGGAGCTGATTACCAGTCTCATCATGGGGAATACTGCATCCAGCTGCCCAGCCACTCAACCAGGCCCAGCCAAGCTGACACACAACCTTAACTACCACAATTAGTTTGAGAAAATACTCAGCCATTATCTCTCTAAATACTGATTCAGCGTTCTCTGTCTTTCCCCTTTTTTAGGGACTCATCCCTCATGTTAAATTTTCTCACTGTATTTTCTGTCTCTGACCTCTGGTTCTCATTTCGCTATCCATTTTCCTCTTCGTGTTTCTTATGGATAGTTTCTGCTGACCTGCGTCTAGGCCACCAGTTCTCTCTACAGCTATGGCCAATCTTCTGTTTAACCCCCTTACTCCATTCTTAGTTACTGTACTTTTTAAAAATTATACATATGATTAGTTTTATAATTTCCGTATGTCTGCTAAAATCCTTTATCTTTCATTCTTTTGAATATAGGATTTTAGTTATTTCAAAGTTTGTGTCTGCTATCTTCAAAGCCTGACACCACTGTGAATTTTTCTATTGTCTACCATTTCTGCTGTTTTAATTTATATTGCCTTGTTGTTGTTGTTGTTATGTGCCGTTGAGTCGGACCCGACTCCTAGCGACCCCTCCTTGGGTTTCCGAGGCAGTATCACTACGGAAGTAGATTGCCCCATCTTCCTTCTGAGGAGTGGCTGGTGGGTTTGAACTGCCAGCCTTCTGGTTAGCAGTCAAATGCCTTAGCCACTATGCTACCAGAGCTCCCAAATATATATTGCCTTAGCTCCTCAATTTTTAAATTGTCTGCCTGCTATTGTTTATGTAAAACTTTTATAGAAAAACCTTGAGACCTGGGATTATGTGTCTTTCTCTTGAAGAGACATGTTTATTTTTGCAAGATGTCAGAGGCACTAGCACTCAGAACTCACCTTAATCCAATTTCAGTGCTTGAAATGGTCGGAAGCTGGACGGCAGATCTGCTCCTCATTTACACTGAGCCCTGGAATGAATTTTTGGTGATCGTTAGTGACCATCTGCTCTCATCATCAACTCCACAAGATAAGAAAAGCTTCACTACTTAGCATTTGGCCTCTCAGACTCCCTCTTCAAAACTGATTTACACCTGCAGGGATAAAAGGGGCTCCCAATACTGGGTTCACCTCTCTGGTCTTCTGTGAGTATCCTGAACTATGTGTAGCGATTCTTCACTAGATCATCAACTCTCTTAAGGCTTGAATCAGGCGGTGTTTTCATTCAATTCTCTAATAGTCATCATGAGGAAGTGTAGCCTGACCTACCTAACCCACTATTATTGGAAGTGGAATTTCCTCTCCTAGTCTGAAGCCCCAGGACCATGCCAACACAGAAAAACAGCAATGCCTCAGTGGTCTCTTTGCAGGAGTTTGTGCTAGTGGGATTTGAGGGTGGGCTGGAGACCCAGGCCCTACTCTTTGCTGTGTTCCTGGCCCTCTACGTGGTGACCATGCTGGGGAACCTCACAATGATCGTGGTCATCACGCTGGATGCCCGCCTCCACTCTCCCATGTACTTCTTCCTCAAGAACCTCTCCTTCCTGGACCTCTGCTACTCCTCTGTCATCGCCCCCAAGGCCCTGCTCAACTTCTTCTCCTCGACCAGGATCATCACCTTCGCCGGCTGTGCCACCCAGCTCTTCTTCTTCTCTCTGTTGGTCACCACTGAGGGTTTGCTTCTGGGTGTCATGGCCTATGACCGTTTCATGGCCATCTGCAACCCCCTACACTACCCAGTCACCATGTGCCCCTCGGCCTGCACCCGCCTGGTGCTGGGCACCTACTGTGGAGGCTGCTTCAATTCCATTGTGCAGACCAGCCTAACCTTCCACGTCCCATTCTGCAGCTCCAACCATATCAACCACTACTTCTGCGATGTGCCGCCCCTGCTCCAGATTGCCTGTGCCGACATAGCCCTCAATGAGTTGGTCATGTTTGGCATCTGCGGGCTGATTATTGTGGGTGTGACATGTGTGGTCCTCGTCTCCTACAGCTACATCACAGTGACCATCCTGAGGATGCATTCAGCAGCTGGGCGCCACAAGGTCTTCTCAACATGTGGTTCCCACATGACTGCAGTGACCCTCTTTGTTGGGACTGTCTTTGTGATGTACGCCCAGCCAGGAGCCGTGGAGTCCATGGAGCAGGGCAAGGTGGTCTCCATCTTCTATACCCTGGTCATCCCCATGCTCAACCCCCTTATCTACAGTCTGCGGAACAAGGATGTCAAGGAGGCCCTGAGGAGACTGGGTCAAAAACGTGCAGCCAAGTGAAGGAGCTCAGCTGGGGAGAGAGAGTGTCCTGAGAACTCACCAGAAGGAGGGGCTTTTGGTGGGAAATGTGGATCCAGAAATTCCTTCCTGTGTTCTTTCCTTCATTCGTTCAACACTTATTTAAAGCTCACTGTATATCAAGTATTTGCCAACCACTTGGCAAAGATGCACATGACAATGTTCTTGTCCTCTGGGAGCCAACAGTCCCATGCAGTAAAAATAACAAAATGTACTGTGTGGCTTATAACTTATGCAGAAGTACATGTATGACCATAATGGCATGAAGTACAGTAAGTGTTCTCTTTTAACCTTCAGGGTAACTCACTTTGGGAACGGGATAGTCTCCTCAACAAGTCGTACTGGAATGACTGGGTATCCATAGGCAAAATATGACCCTCAACCCTTACAATAATTAACTCAGTATGAAAAAAATCCCTCAATGGAAGAGCTAAAATTTTTAAACACAGAGCAGAGAATAAAGGAGGAAACTTTTGGACTTTAGCTTTGGCAACGATTTCTTGACATGCCACAGAGAGAAAATCCTGACACATAGGATTTGATTGAATTTAAAAACAACTGTTGCTCTTCCAAAGATACACTAAGAAAATTAAAAGTCCAGCCATCAAATGAGAAAAAAACAAGTATAAAACATATATTTGATAAAAGGCTTATGTCCAGAGTGTATCAAGAACTCCTACCTCTTTACAGAAGAGCTTGGAGTTTGATCTCGATAAAATGAGAGGCGTTATAGGTTGGGAACACTTCATGTAACAATTAGGTTGATTCTCTCCAAATTAACCCATAGATTTAGTGCAAATAAAATCAAAATTTCAGTAGGTTTCTGAATGGAACTTGCAAAAATGATCACAAAATTTGAGGAAACAAGAATTCCAAAAATTATAAAGAAAAGGGATGAGAAGGAGGAGATAAACTGGCAAATGGAAATGAAGCCACAAGGAGAAACCATTTATACTTCTTTCATTGGCAGAAAAATTAAGATGTTTGCAATTATCAAGTGTTAAAGATCATGTAGGAAGGCGGGGCAAGATGGCGGACTAGGCAGAAGGATTGCACAGACCCTCTTCAACAAAGAAAAGGGAAACCAATTAACACAGACACAGAAGATA